GTAATATTAGATATCACCCCTGCTGCTGATATCCCCATCCTTTTTTATTTCAGCACTTGGTCTGTCCCTTGATTCCCACTTCTTAACATGTTTTTTTTTCCACATGACTCTGAATTAATTTTACTGGGATGTTAGAGCAGATTGAAGGTGAAGGGATTTGGACTAACACAGTGGGGAGGAGAAAGTATGTGATGACAGATACATAGCAGACAACCAGAAAGCAAGGAGGATTGCTTAAGAATCTAAACATGTTGCAGACATCAGGACTTAGTGGAAGTTTCAAGGGAGGATTTTTCAGGTTAAAACATAATTGCTTCTTCAGAGCTGTGATTCTTGGATCAAAAGTGAGAAGCGGAGACTGGGGAGAGGAGCTCTGCCCTTGTTTACCTTGGTAGCCAGTTCCAACCTCATCTGGATGGGGCGTGTGTCCCAGGAGGAAAAATGGCCTCGTTAGTCCTGGGATGGAGTATGCTGTAGAATCACATGAACAAACTGTAAAAACCCATAATGGTGGGGCCCAAGGATGTACATTCTAACTAACTCCCAGGTGATGTTGCTGCTGGTCCAGGAACCACAGCTTGATAACCACTGATAGTCCTTCCTACTCCCTTGTTGGTCTTTCCATTTTTAAGACATTTTATCTTTCCTATTGCTGCATACATGGGACCCATTGTGTTTCTAATTTAACATCCCTAGTGAGCATCTTTGGGGGGAAATGGTGAAAAACCTGTGGGTGATTTATATGAAAATATATTGTTTTTATAATGATCATATGATAATATGGCGCTTCACCAGCCTAGTGGAATGGATGTAAACATGCTCTTTCATTTTTCTTTTTTTCAAAATGCCATCAGCTTATTGGTCTAGTTAAGGATTACTTTAGTTTATTTTTTTAAGTTTGTTTTTTATCGTTGATAGTGCCCCCCCCCCCCCATCTCCCACTGCATGGAACATTCTTTCTTTCAATGAAGGATTTTTTTTTTTCTCTTAAGTATCTTAATCTCAGTGAATTGTATCCATCTCATGGCACAAAATTAGAATTTCTCTTTCAAACCTAAACATTCTACCTAAGGAAAGCTGACAAGAAAGCTAGGACAAATGTCATTCTCACCAAAGTTTAAAACAGACTTTGTAATTTTCTCACAGCCTGTCTTTCTTTCTTCACAGAGAGACTGGGCGGCTAGCCTGACCTAAAACATCAGTTAGTCAGCAACTCTGCAAAAAATTGTGTTTTCTCTGCCAAACCTTTAGCCTCCACACCCATTGCTGGAACTTTCCCTGATATTTTACCCCATTCAAATATGCTCTAAACGGGTCCTAACCAAGCTTGAAATGTACCCCAAACTTGCTTCTGTTGGGTCTCCTTTTGTCCCCTACTCTATATGAATAGTAAGTGAATATTATTCCCAGGTTCTTATTTTTCTAAGACTATTCTAAACTTATTTTTAATTGAGTCATGAGAATAGGAAACTGCTAGATTGAGGACTCCTACAAACAGAGCTGGTCTTCTCTGTTCACATCACACAAATAAGGGCTTTCTCAAGTTTGAACTCTGACCTTTAACCCAAACGGAATTCCTTTGTTGTGGTGGTTGTATTTTCTGGTACCTTTTCCTTCAGCAAGTCATTCAAAGAAGTATATATTAGTTATTTAAAATCCAGAAATCAATTTTCTGTTATCTGGGAATCATTGGATGTTGAAGTTTTAATTTTCTAAATGGTTTTCTCCATCCAAAAGACCAAGTTATAATCAGCATGTCTCTGGGTAAACAAAGAATTAGAACAAAGGGACCTGGATATTCTGTCTTTTATTTTCGGACCTCAGATCTGAACTTGGATTATTCATTATCCTTGATTTGTGATGTATTATCACTATAAGTCCATGCATTTCCTCCATTATATCAATTCATTTACTTATTTAGTTAATTTTTTAAAATACAATTTTATTTTTAATTTCTAACAAGCATCTTCATTCCTAGTTTTAAAAATTTGAGGTGAAATTTCCATATATTGAAATGCACACATCTTAAATGTATAGTTTGATGAATTTGACAAATGTATAAACTTGTGTAACTAACACTTCAATCAACATATTAAACAGGAAGTTCCCCAGTGCCTCCTTTAATCATTTGCCACTTCCTACAGATAACTATTCTACTTTCTATCATCATAGATTGCCCGTTCTTGAATTTCATATAAAAGGAATCATACAGTACATAGTCATTTATGTCTGGCTTCTTTTGCTCAACATACTGTTGCATGTATCAACAGCTCAGTCTTTTTTATTGTGGAGTAATATTTCATTGTATTGGAATAACATTCCATTGCATTAAGTATGTGAGAACGCACAGGGGAAATCTTCCTCTCAGACGTGTTTTTGAGGATATAGGACAATCTCTTTAAGCGCATAGTATTTTCTGATGCCCTTTTATTTAGCCTTTCTATTTTTGAAAATACTTTGACCCTTTCATGACGATTGGCATAGTTTTATCAACACAGATGCTCACTCAGTTAGGCGGACTCTAAAATACCTCAGGCCATTGGCAAGACTGAGTTTTAATATATATGGAAATTCTATTCTTAGTGTTAGTGTTTCACCACTTCAGGCTCTGTTCTTATTCTTCTCTGTAATCCTTTAAAGCCCATTTGGAATTTATTGAGACTTATTTTGTGGCCTTGCGTACATGGCCCATCATGGTGAACATAACTTGGACTTGAAATGTATATTCTGCATTTAAGTGTTTTGTTCTATAAATTGAATTAGGTCAAGATGGTTACATTTTCACCACCCTAAAAAGTAATCCTGCCCTAACAGGTTTGGCTCAGTGGATAGAGTGTCGGTCCACAGACTGAAAGGTCCCAGGTTCGATTCTGGTCAAGGGCACGTACCTTGGTTGCAGGCTAGATCCCCGTCAACAACAAAAGTAATTCTGTACACTTTAGCTATCACCCACCTTTTCCATATTACATACATATTTATTATGTTTACTGTCTGTCCTCTCCTTACTGTTATATGTAGTGAATTATGTGATAAATATAGAGATCAAGAGTAAACATTTATAAGTTTTTTTTAACAGTGAAATATTGTCATCATAGTTTTATGTTGTTAAACAAAGGATTGGTCCCTAAAGAATTGGAAATGTTTTTAAAAAATTGGTTCTTTACTGCTTTGAAAATTATGGCCTAGATTCTTATAACTCCATGTCGTAGTATTTGAAAGGTTCTGGACAGAACAGAGAAGTAGATAATTACCTGTCATACTTGAAAGTGTTTCGTGCCCTACACAAATCATAGTTGCTAGCAAAGAAAATCAATCCTTGCTTTTATAAATTGGTGGGGCAGTGAGAGCTTTTTCATTGTGAGCATTACTTTGTTTTATTAGCATTTCCCATGTTTATTGCTGAGCTGACGTGTGTCCCTTTCTATATATCTCGTGATATCTAGAGTGCTTTGAAGTGCAACTTTTAAAATGAAGGTAATGCAAGCCACTTAATTATATGAAAGTAAAGGACTGAAGGCCGTTCAGCTTAATCTTTTATGTTCTCAGTTTTCACGTTTTAAGTTTTCCAGCCTGAAGTGTGATTATTAAATCTGTGCCCCACCTCGCTGGACTAGCTAAATGTGCGAGTAAGTTTTTGAGAGCTACCTAGGCTCATAACCTGGCTTGTTAACCACCTGAATTCTGGTCACTGTAAATGCACGCCTTAGGTATTTTCATGCTGTAGTATTTCCACATCACATGGTAGAGATATTTTATACCTTCTGAGGTAAGTAAAGTTCTGGGAAACTCTTAGATGAAATCTATAAAAACTATAAAAATGAAGCAATATTTCACAATGATTAAATGGCATATTATTAAAATGAATGTACATAAGAACTGATCCAGCAAGCTTTTTATCAGAACTGTGGATGTGTTTGTAAAAATAAAGTGGTGAGATCTGGCTGCCTGGAAACAAAGGGCAAAGGTTTCTATTAAACAGCATACCCTTCATTTCCCAGGTATTTGTTACACCACAGTATCTGCAAAGTCACAGAAGCCTTATTTAGGCCTATTGGGAAAATTTGTATGCTACTTAGTCTGGCACCTGAAATGCGTTAATTAATATTGAAAACCACATAATTTGGCTTTTTCCTGCTTTGACCAAATTTCTTGCAGGGCTAAGTTCAGTCAATTTTTTGAATAGGTAAAAGAGTGAGTAGACTGTGACAATTTCAGTATAAACCTATCTTTCAGATAGAGAGTCAGATAAGCAAACATAATATTGCTGGAAATCAGACCTACGCTAAAAACTGGTCTTTGCTATATTTACTTGGCATGTTTCCTTGCAAAAATCAACAAACATCTTTGATTTCATTTGTAAAATGAAGATGAATGTATCCATTTTATAGGGTTACTGTTATGATTAAGGATTGTGGATAATGTATGCAAATGTATAGGGACCACTGTAGACACTTAATGCATGGTAGCTATGGTTGCATTAAAAAATAGCAGTCGATTTGTGTGTGTTTGCTATATATGCACACAATGAAAACCATTTTCTTACACAAGTCTTGTAATCCTTATACAGAAAAAGGGGGGCAAAACTAAGAGAGTAGAGATTGGTTTGGGCTGGAATAGGGAGGGAGGAAGTTCTGGTCTACCTAGCATTCCTCAAGGCCCCGAGCAAGGCTCCATAGCCATGCCTGATAGCCCTCATGGAGACCTAGAGCTCCATATATAGAGTGCGGCATGGAAAGCATTCTTCTGGACTTTAAACACCTTGAGTGCAAGAACTGAATCTTGTTTCATTAACTGATACAGGTATAGCATGTGGTCTCTCAGTATAGTAAGTGACGGTTGACCGCAGCTCGTTAAATGGTTCAATTAATTCAGGTCTACTACTTCAGAAATTCCCTCGATTTGATTGCCAGGTGGAGTTATCATTTGAAGTTGAATTATCAAACCTGCCAGGAAGCATGAGTCATTTAAAGGATGTAATGATAACATCATTATTTTTTCAGATCTAGGTTGGAATTTGCCCTTCACAAATAACAAAATGATGAGTGATGCAAGTGACATGTTGGCTGCGGCGTTGGAGCAGATGGATGGTATTATAGCAGGTAATGTGCATCCTCTAAAATATGGAATCATGCCATTTATTCTGCTCTCTTGGCTTTTGCATTACAGCTATTTTATTACCTTTTCACTTTCTTATTTTCACTTACTGGCTCTCCCCAATGCCTTTACGTTCCCCGTGGTTTCATCCTTGACCCTCCTTCCCATTTTCTTCCAGAATTTTTATTTTTTCAAAAAATTTTCAGTTAGAGTTGACATTCAATATTATTTTATATTAGTTTCAGGTGTATAGCATAGTGGTCAGATGATTATGTAATTTATGAAGTGATCTGTCAGTAATTCTAGTAGTCACTTGGCACCGTACCTAGTTATTACAATATTATTGACTATATTCCCTATACTATACTTTACGTCTCCATGACTGTTTAGTAACTACCAATCTGTACTTAATCTCTTCACCTTTCTCACCCAATCCCCCTAATCCCCTCTCCTCTGGCAACCAGCAGCCTATTCTCTGTATCTATGAGTCTGTTTCTGTTTTGTTTGTTGATCTATTATGTTCTTTAGGGTCCACATATAAGTGGAGTCATATGGTATTGTTTTTCTCTTATTGACTTATTTTCCTTAGCCTAATACCCTTTAGGTCAGTAATGGCGAACCTTTTGAGCTCGGCGTGTCAGCATTTTGAAAAACCCTAACTTAACTCCGGTGCCCTGTCACATATAGAAATTGTTTGATATTTGCAACCATAGTAAAGCAAAGACTTATATTTTTGATATTTATTTTATATATTTAAGTGCCATTTAACAAAGAAAAATCAACCAAAAAAATGAGTTCGTGTGTCACCTCTGACACGCGTGTCATAGGTTCGCCATCACTGCTCTAGGTCAATCCATATTGTTACAAATGGTGAAACTTCATTCTTTTTTTTATGGCTGAGTAGTATTCTATTGTATAGATGTATCATATCTTCTTTATCCAATATCTATTGATGGGCACTGGGATTGCTTCCATATCTTGGCTATTGTAAATACTGCTGCAATGAACATAGGGGTATTAGTGTTGAATTTCATTAGTGTTTTGGATTTTTTTCATATATATATATCAAGTAAGTGTAATTGATGGGTCATAAGGTAATTCTATTTTTAAGGAACCTCCATGCTGTTTTCCATAGTGGCTGCACCAATTTGCAATCCCACCAACCGTGTAGGAGGGTTTCCTCTCCTTCACATCCTCACCAGCATTTGCTCATTGTTGATTTATAGATAATAGCAAATTCTGACAGGTGTGAGGTGATATTTTATTGTGGTTTTAATTTCATTTCTCTGGTTAGTGACATTGAGCATTGTTTCTATGTCTATTGGTCATCTGTGTGTCCTCTTTGGAGAAATGTCTATCATATCCTCTGCCCATTTAAATTGGATAGTCTGTTCTTTTGGTGTTAAGGCGTATGAGTTTTGGATATAAACCCCTTATCGGATTAATCATTGGCAAATATCTTTTTCCATTCAGTAGATTTTATTTTCATTTGTTTTGTTTCTTTTGCTGTGAGTTCCATTTGTTTATTTTTTTTCTTTTGTTTCCCAAGGAGATATATCAGAAAAAAAATATTGCTAAGAACAATGTCAGAGAGTTCACTGCCTAAGTTTTCTGGTTTTATTTATTTGGGCCCTCTCTTTTTTCTTAATGAGTATTGTTAAAGGTTTTCAAAGAACCAGCTCTTGGTAATCCTTTGTATTTTTTTTTAGGCTCTATTTTGTTTATTTCCACTCTGATTTTTACTATTTCCTTCCTTCTATTCACTTTAGGTTCTGTTTGTAACTGTTTTTCTAGTTCCTTTAGGTGTAAGGTTAGGTTGTTTATATGTGATTTGTCTTGTTTCTTTGTGTGTGTGTGTGTTTTTTTTAATTTGAATCTCAGAAAAAAACCCAAATAATTTGTTAGTATATTTGTTCCCAGTATTGTATAGGATTACTTAATACTACAAAAGTATTCATTTTTAAAATTTTAAATCATTTTTTATTTATCAATTACAGTTGACATAGATTTTAATATTAGTTTCAGGTGTACACCCCAGTGATTAGACATTACATAACTTACTAAGTGATCATCCCAATAAATCTTGCACCCATCTGACACTGTGCATAGTTGTTAGAATATTACTGACGGTATTCCCTATGCTGTACTTTACATCCCCATGACTATTCTGTAACAACCAATTTGTACTGCTTAATCCCTTCACTTTTTTCACCCATTCCCCAACCCCCTTCCCATCTGGCAGCCATCAAAACGTTCTCTATATCTGTGAATCTGTTTCTGTTCTGCTGGTCTGTTCATTCTGTGTGCTTTTTAGAGGCAATTTATTGATAGATATGCATTTATTGCCATTTTATTGTTCATATTTTTTATCTTTTTTAAAATCTTTTTATCTTTTTTTATTTTTTATTTTCTAAAGAAGACCTTTAACATTTCATATAATACTGATTTGGTGGTGATAAACTCTGTTAGCTTTTTCTTGTCTGGGAATCTCTTATCACACTTTCAATTTTAAATGATAGTCTTTCTGTGTAAAGTAGTCTGGTTGTAGGTTCTTACTTTTCACCACTTTGAATATTTTGAGCCAACTCCTTTCGGCATGCCATGCTTTTGTTGAAAAATTGTCTGACAGTCAATTTCTGGGAGCTCCCTTGTAGGTAACTCTCTTTACTTTGCTGCTTTTAAAATTCTGTCTTTGTCTTTAATATTTGCCATTTTTATTATGATGAGTCTTGGTATGTGCCTCTTTGCATTTCATCTTGTTTGGGACTCTCTGCTTCCTCAACTTGTGTCTATTTTCTTCTTTAGATTAGGGAAGTTTTTAGTAATTTTTTCAATTAGGGTCTCAATTTTTGTGCTCTTTCTCTCTGCCTTTTGGTACCCTTATGATGCAAATGTTTTTATGCTTGACATTGTCCCAGAGGTACCTTAAATATCTTCATTTGGGTGGGCGTTTTTTGCTACCTTCACTTCCAGATCACTTATTTGATCCTCTGCTCCACCTAATCTGCTGTTATTTCCTTCTAGTGAATTCTTCATTTCTGACTGGTTCTTTTTTATGGTTTCTATGTTCTTTTTTTATGCTTACTCTCTTTGCAGAAGTTCTCACTAAGTTCCTTGAGCATCCTTAAAATCAGTGTTTTAAACTCTGTATGTGGTAAATTGCTTGCATCTATTTCATTTAGTTCTTTTTCTGAAGATTTCCCTTGTTCTTTTATTTGTGACATGTTTCTTAGTCTCCCCATTTTGGCTTTCTCTTTGTGTTTGTTTCTTTATATTATATACATCTGCTACATCTTCCAGGATTCGTGGGGTGGCCTTATGTAGTATGTGTTCTGTGGGGCCCAATTGCACAGTCTCCCTTATCACCTGAGCCAGGTGTTCCAGGAATATCCCTTGTGTGGGTTGTATGTGCCTTCCTGTTGTAGTTGAGACTTGATTGCCATTGAGCCTTCAGTAGGTGCAATTGACTCTCAGGTTTACTGGCAGGAAGATTGGCCACGACCACAGTGTACATGCTGCTGTGCAGTGTTGATCCCGGGAGCAGGATTTGCCCTAGTGGCATCTAATGCCTGCTGACTGCTCTTTGGGCATGCCGCCTGTGCAGCTAGTCTGGTAGTGCTCCATTATGGTCTGAAGCTAGCCACCAGGTGTGCTCTGTGTTTGTTCCAAGGTTTCTTGTGAGGGTCTCCAGTGCAGGTCAATGTTAGACACTGCCTGGAATTGGTCTGGGGCTACCTGTGGTTGGTGGCTGTCTGTAATGGATCTGGATGCACATACAAGAGGTCACACTGTGAACCAAGACCAGCTGCCACCAGTATTGGGTCGAGGGCAGGTCAGCAAAAGGTCCAAGGCACCCTGAGACCTTCTGCTGCCTGCCAGCTACCTTTAAGGCTCAGCTGCTGAAAGAACTTTCAGTGATATGTAAGTTTGGTGAGGCAGGGTCTCAGGGAGTCACCAGGGTGGGGCCAGTGGTGTGTTCTCCAAGTTAATACAGATTCATATTTGGCACCAGTGCTGACCATGAGGACACTCAGCAAAAGTCTCAATAGGGCTAGCCTCCATCTGCCTGAGGTCTGTGGACCTTTATGAGTGGTGGGGGTGGGGGTGGCTCTCAGGAAGTCACCAGGGTGGAGCTGGTGGAGTTCACCAGTCTAATACAGATTCAGATTTGGCCAAGTGAGGGGAGGACTCAACACAGGGACAATGGTAGCTGTCCTTCAACCCTTTCCCTAAAACCACACAACTCACTTTCTCTCTGTATGTTTCTGGCACCCCTTCAGCGTGATAAGAATTCCTCGAGAGTTTTTAAAGAAAGACTGCCATGCGGACTCAGGGTGGCTGCTGTTGAAAGAACCTCAGGGCTTGTTCAAGTTGGGCAGGGCAAGGTCTCAGGTAGTTGTCAGGGTGGAACGAGTGGACTTCACCAGGTTAATGCAGGCACAGATTTGGCCTCATGGGAGGAGGACTCACCACAGGGACAGTGGCGGCAGTGCCACACAACTCAGTTTCTCCCTGTATGTCTTTGGAGCCCCTCCAAGCTGCTGTCTCTCCACCAGAGCCCAAGGTGAGTGCCTGCCAGCAATGTTTTTTTTTTTGCATGGGTGGGCCCTTTAAGAAGATGCCTGTGTTTCTAACACCCTTCCGTCTCACCCAGTTGTTAAGTGGGCTCCTCTTCCCAGCACTGGTGTTTCATGCTGGGAAGCCTGGTGTGGAGCTGAGACCCCTCACTCCTCAGGGAGTACCTCTGCAGCTGAAATATCACTCTGGATTTTCAACCGCCACCTGTGGGTGTCCAGCCAGCCTGTTCCACATCTCCGCCCCTCCTGTTAGTCTCAATGTGGTTGCTTCTTTATATCCTTTAGTGATAGGGGTTCTGTTCAGCCAGTTTTGAGGTGGTTGTCCAAGTTGGTTGTTCTATAATTTCATTGTAATTTTATGTGGTCATGGGAGGAGGTGAGTGCACTGTCCACCTACCTACCGTCCTGTTGATTGGAACTCCTCCTGGGTTAGTATTATGTTTAGGTTAGAATTTGGTTCAGGGTTTAGGTTAGGTATGAGGTTTGGTTTAGAGTTAGATTTAAGATAAGGGTTAATTTTAGTGTTCGTGGTGAGTTCAGTATTAGGTTTAGGGTTAGCTTTAAATTTGAGGTCATGGGTTGGGTTGATGTTAGGATTAGGGTTAGGCTTAGGTTTAAAGGTAGGATTAGGATTACAGTTTAGTTTAGAATTAGGGTTAGGGTAAAATGTTTGTGTTTATTTCAGTATTATGGTTAGGGGGAGGATTTATGTTAGGTGTGGGGGGACCTCGGCAGCTGAGATACCCCTCCAGATTCTTAATTGCCACATGTGAGGAGATAAGTACAGCAGATACCTACTCTGCCATCTT